GTAATTTTTTTTACTTGTATTGATATTTGTTTAGACATATAATCAGCCATCCTTTTTAGTTTCTCAATCAATAATGCTTTAAAGATTTTTTTAATAGTTACAATTGTTAAAGGGAGACTAGATATTTTTTGTAAAAGGATTTATCTTTGCTTGCAAGGAGAATATCAAAATGCTTGATTCTGTTTTTTTTAATGAAGCTTTCAGTTATTTAATGACTTGATTAATTTTAGAAAATAGTTGTTTTGATTTGATAGGATGTTATTGTTTTTTAAAAGGAATATTAAAGATTAATGCATTTTTTATTATAAGTTCAAATTGATATTATTTAAAACACAACTCTACTTTCCGGACTAAATTTATATTCTTATTAAAGAAGTTCAATTGTTTCTTTATTGCTTTATGAAATAAGTATATTTTTGTTAAATAAAAAATTCTTAATGGTTTGTATTCAAACTATTGAAAGATTATTGTAATGTCCTTGTGATCCATTTTGATATCATTAGAATCAGATATATGATAGTTTGGAATTTTGTTTGCCAAATTAGGGAAGAGTCATATTTGATCTATTCTAGAAACACTCGTATTAATAAAGTGTGTATAAAAGTGTTCTTTGTCAATAATCTTATCAAAGTCTATTACATTGGTCATTATTCTATAAAATTTTTATTTGTGATTATTTGCTGATATATTAATTGAGAGATATTTAATAAATATGTGTTAAAGTTTTTTGTTAAAATAAATTCATAATTTCTATAGGAGTAGAGTAGTTTTTTTAAGAATAAATAAGTGATATCTTAATAAGGAATAGAATGAGAAAGATAAAGAGCTACTATAATAATATTTATTTTAGGTTTAAATTTGAGATATATAGCTATCAAAATTTATTAGAAGCAAATATATCAATAATATAATTTGAAAGAGTTTTGAAAAGAATTATACAAGTAACATTATTAAAGACTTTTTTAGATATACTTGATATAATTATGTTATTAACTCTTTTGAGAATTAATTTTAAAGAGGTGTGTTTAATCTCAGTATAGATTTTGATTTGTTTTTCATTGATCAAAGAATTTAACAGATAGTATAGTTTTTTTGAATTATTTAGTCCTTGAATATTGTGAATTAAAATTAATAATAGATTTTAATATTACTACTTTTTGATAGAGAAGTTTAATATAGGATATTTGTTTGAGTTAAAAAATTTTATTTGAAGTCTGTTATGACAAAAAAAGAACTTGAGTTAGATATGTTATATATAATTAATAATGTGGAGAGAGGAGAGTTATATTGGAATTGGGTAGCTTTGATACTTCCATAAAGTTATCTGAAAGTTTTTAGAAATAGAAGTGTTATTTTTAGATATTTAATTTTCAATTGAAAGATTCATTCTCTTTTAATGGAAGAGTAATATCTACTTCTTCTTTCTTTAAGATTTCATTTGAGATTGAGAAATCTGGGAGAATCATAAGAACTGGCAGAATCCATTCTCTAGGGATTAAACCTAGATATTTGTTTTTGATATTCTTAATATTATCACTGAACAAATGATTTTCCTATTAAAATCTTCCTTTAAGAATCTAGTTCTTTTTTAATAACTTCAAAATCATTAGAAATAAGTGGATAATCAGTTTGTTTGAGAGATGAGTCTATTTATTCAGGTCCAAGGGGCATCTTAAATAAATAGAAAGGGGATAACTATTAGATAAAAGCTTTGATCAAAGATTAATATTTGATAGGCAATTCTATATCAATATTCTTATTGCACCAATAAAATAATAAAAGGAACAATTTTTGAGTTAAATAGTCTTTAAAAGTAGTTTAAAGACAAAGTTATTGTTCTGAAGAGTTTTTGAGATTTGTTTAATATGATAGATATTATTGAGCATAGAAAATAGGGAAACTAAATCTTGAAAAAATTGTTAATACTGTATGTATTAGAGAGGTTAATTTTTAGAAAAGAAAGATTGAAATATTTATCAAAAAATTTGTTAGATACATAAAACTTTTTTAATAATTGATTGATTATTTGTTTAAGAATATATAGTTGAGTGTATTTTGTAATAGGAAAGATGAAATTGAATTCTGAGGAAAGGTTTCAGAAATTAGAAGAAAGGTTTGATAATTTCTTGAAAAAATTTTCAAGTAAAAGATCAAAGTTATAAAAGCATCTCAATACTTGAGTCATTGAGACAGTCATGAATAAGACATCTAATAGAAAAGTATTAGATGATTTGATTTTAATTCTAAAGAAGATTTCATTAGAATATTTGAGAAGTTCTAGAAGTATGTTTTTAATAAACTTTTCTGATTGTATATAATTTATTTTCTCTATAGAGGGATTAATAAAGTAATTAAAGCCATACTTCAAAATTTGAACTGCATATTAATATTGAAGAATATGAAAGTCTAAAGTTTGAAAATAAGTGGCAAAGATAGATTTGTAAATAATGATACAAAATTTTTTTTAATGGTTCTATTGATATTGTGATAAAAATAGCCTCTAATACTATTGAATGGTTATTTTTAATCATGATCTTTATTTTATTTCTATTTTTATCTATTTATTTATAATTATTTTTTTGATATTCTTTGATATTCTTATTGATACTTAATTATATAGATCATTTTATCAAATATAATACATGATATAATTTACTATAGATTAGGCAGCCCAGGAAGTCTAGAAGATTCAAATAATCCATTTTTACAAGTATATAAGCAGTTATAATTTGCTTAAAAGTAAGATAAGTTTGAATATAATTTCATTTGACTTTGGAAGTTTAGAAATAACTTTATTTTGATTTCTTGAAGATTGAATATTTTCTCTTGATTTTAGGACTAAAGAAATTGTTCTAGTTTTCTTTATTTATTAATAAACTTGAGTTTTAAGCAAACCATATTTCTTGTAAAACACTGTGTAACACTATTTTAAGAATTCTTGGTAAATTTACTTTTTGATATTTTTTTATTATTATAAACTACTTCTTTAATTCTTTTTTTGAAAATTGTTCTTTTAAAAGTAATTCCATTTGGATATACCAGTCAAATATAAATTTGATCACAATATAATCAATATTAGATTTATTAAGATAGTTAGTCTAGAAGTCATTTATTAATTTTTTATATTTTTTTTAATGATTTTCTTTTAGCTTTTCAGATTTGACAAAGAATTGAAAAAATGCGCTATCTTTATAAGAGATTTTTGTAAGAATTGCTGATAGAACCTTTAGAGAGAAACTGTAAGGAGGATTCATAATTTTTATAAATATTTTCACAAAAGATTTTAATGAAAGATAGTGTTATTGATTATTGTAATTGTTTCAGAATCTGATAAATTTGTAGTTTTAATATCTTTAATGTCAAATATAATTTCAGTTTCATTAATCTATAAATAAGAATCAGATTCTTTATTACTAAAATCAATTTTCATATCTATAACTATGATGTGACTAGGAAATGATTGATTTTGATTAATGCTTTTAAGAGTATTGTTATTAGAAGAATTGTTTAATCTGATATTAGAATGGGATTGATCACCTTTCAGATTAATTAGTTCTATATTAGATATATTGAAGAAATCTTGAAATATAATCTTTATGATCTGCTGAAAGTCATTTTATAGTACAATAGTATTTGAAAGGGATATGGAAGTTTTCCTTTTTTGAGAAAAAAGTGTTAGAGTTGATATTAATAAAAATAAAGATTTGATTCTAAGAATAGTGAAATTTATAGTCTACAATATTTTTGATAACTTGATAAACTGCAAGTATTCAATTATTTTCTGATAAGTGGAAAGTTAACTAATATTTCATAAATTTGTTAAAAATAGTGAAATTATTATAAGAAAGAATTTCAGTTGAAACATTGAAAGAAGAAGAAAAGATTTATAGGATTTGTTTTTTGATTTCATATTTGATATGAATAATTTTTAGATCTAGATTCAGGTCTAAGTTAGGAGGATTGATGGTTGGGATTAACCAGGATGTAGAACAATATTGAAGAATTGGAACTTGAAGATAAAAAGTTAATTTAGTTACAAAGACAAGTAAAATTTTAATTTATTTGTAGATAATAGAGATTTTTGATTTTTTATTGTCTATTAAGACAACATCTAAGATAGAAAATTTATTTTCATTGTATATAGTCTTGGAGAAACTGCTTCCAGCTTCTTTTTGTTTGCTTTTGAATAAAATTTTATTAAATTTTCTTTTTAAAAATTTGTGAGTTGATAATTGATAGAAATAATTTTTTGATTTTTATCTTAAATAAAAATAATATTGTTATATCTTTTTTTAAGTTAAGTTTATTGACTTGATTGAAATAAAAGAAATAATTGAAAATGTGACTTGATAAAAGAAAAAGTAAAAGATTTAAGAAAAAATCTTTGAAAAAGAAAAAAGTTATAATTGATAAAAAAATATGAAACAAAGAAATAAAAAAAAATATGAAAGAAAAAATACTATAATAAAAAAAGATTAAAGAGTTAAAAAAAGAAAATAAATATACACTTGTTTATAATAACTCAAAACCTTGTTTCAGAAATGTCTTTCCCATTTAAAGAAATAAGCTTTTTTTATTTCAAACTATTATTACAGTATATGTAAAGCTCAAATTCATTTATTGCTTTTTTAAATAAGAACTTTTTAAATATATGAGACAGATGAAAAAGTCTTATATAGTGTTAGCACATCTCAAACTTTATCTGCTGTATGTTGACATGATCCAACATGAAAACACAAAAGAAGAAAAAAGAAGAAATTTTTCTAAAAAAGAAAATTTTCAGGAAGAAGAATTGAAGTTTTTTTATTTTTAGACATATCCTATATATGATATACAGTATTTTTAGTAATCGTGAATGGTGAATGTAATTTCCTAATGCGTGTTTAGAAATCAAGTATAAAAATTGATTGTCGATACGTGTTAAATAATCAAACTCTGACAGTATTGTGTTCTGTGTGGACGCGGATATTTCTTTATTTATTTTTTATCTCTCCAATATAATGGAATCTTCTTCCAAAATTCCGACTGTTTCTGCTGAAATGGCACAATCTATAACAACGTCAAAAAACCAAGTCAATCGAGCTATTGCTAAGGAAACTATCGGTGCTATTCCTGGTTTTCTTATTGGTGGAGCGGCAGCATGTGCAGCGGTTACTTTTACCAATCCCTGGGAGGTTAGTACTATCAAGTGTATGCGTGGTGCTTCAATATCTAATATCTTTGTTTTTAGGTTGTAAAAACACGACTCCAACTTCAGGGAGAGTTAGCCCGTAATAATTCGAATTATGTAAAACCATACAAAAATATTTTTCAAACCTTTTACATAATCTTAAAAAATGAAGGAATTCGTGGAGTTCAAAAAGGATTAGGTAAGATAATCAGTTTATACCGGAATGTAATAATTAAAATAATTAATATTTTTTTTCCGATTTCAAAGGTCCTGCATATTCATATCAGCTTGTAATGAATGGTTCGCGTCTTGGACTTTATGATCCAATACGAAATTCTTTAGTATCATTTTTCAATGTATCTAACACATCCCTACCAATCAGCATTCTCTCAGGTGGTATTTCTGGAGTTATTGGTGCAGCGCTTGGCTCTCCTTTATACTTAGTTAAAACAAGAATGCAATCTTACTCAAAACACATGGCGGTAGGACATCAACATAATTACTCAAACACTTTTAACGCCTTGTCAGAGTTATGGAGATCAAAAGGTATTAGGGGAATGTTGACTGGTGTTGATGCTGCGATGTTAAGAACTGGCGTCGGTTCAGCAACTCAACTGTCAAGTTACTTCTATGCAAAACGATGGATCATCCAAAAAACTGGGATGGGTGATGGTGACATTTTAGTGCATAGTGTTGCTAGTATGGCATCAGGACTTTGCGTTTGTATAACGATGAATCCATTTGACGTCGTTAGTACGCGTATGTACAATCAAAAGGGGAGAAGGTAAAAAAAGAAATACTTCTTACACTTCATTATGACGCTTAACTATTTTTGTATAACTCATCGACTATCTTTACTGTCATTTCTGTGTGTTGTTTATTATACTGTATATCAAAGTTTATACAAACATACTTTTGATTGTTTTATAAAAACAATTAAAATCGAAGGCATTAACGGGTTATACAAAGGGTTTGGTGCTCATTACCTCAGAATTGGGTAATTATTATTGTCATTTGGCTCTTACGGAATTCTTTATTTTTTACTCACTCTGACTATTTTGACTTTATTTTCTAGTCCTCACACGATATTGACTCTTGTCTTTTTAGAACAATTTCGTGGATTATACATCAAATATACGCAGTAATATATAAATTTCTCAATTTTATATAGAGTATAGGGTTCTATGGCTTTTATGATTATTTAGACACAGGGAAACATTAATTAATAGATTATCTATTTATGTGAGGAAATCATAGTGTACATTATAGAGTTCATATAGGGAAGTCCCTATGTAATTTGATATACCAAATAAGAATATTGGTTACGTTAAATGAGGGCATTTATTTAATCGAAACAGCATACTGTATATCGTTAAAGGATCATGATTTACTTAAATGTGTTTTATACTATTTAAACCAATTATTTCTTCTTGATACTTTGCGAATTATTTGCGTTTACATTGTTAAATAGAAAATATTTATATTTAATATATTTTAATTAATGAGTTGATTTTATTACCGGTAGTTATGTTTGGTTAATTCTTTATTTAATACTTAATGAATTTTTAATTGAAATTTATTATTATAGCTTTAATATTTTTTTTTATAATTAATCCAATCTTAATTATTTGAAAATTTTTATAGTTTTATAATTTTATCATAATAAAATTTATTTATTCTATAGTAGTAACCTATAGACAACAGTTGAAAGGATATTCATCTGAACTATTAATGAAGTGAAAAATTATTTCCAAAGTTGCATTTAGAATAATTAACGAAAACAAATAAGTTAAAGAAATAACTTTAGCAATGCATAAATATATATATGTACAGTTTATAAAATATTTAATAAAGTATATATAGCTAATTTTTTTTTTTTTAATATGACCCTCTGTCAGGCTAGTTATGTATGCTTTATTAAACAATTGTAAGCTGTACATTATATATGTGACGCTAAAGATAAATCTCTAACTAACTCACTCGTCAAAGTCTTATATTTATCTAGGACTCTAAGTGCAACTTTGGGAGTGATTTATC